CGGGGCTTTGGCATACCTGTTTTTTAATAAAAAGGATTTTGCTTTAAAATCAGTCTTTCATTTAATAAGCAAACATTCATAATGACATTGCAGCATCTCATGAGAGTTGTACTTGAGCCAGCGAATTTGCAACCTGTGGAGAACAAGGATAAGTAGCAATCTAAATACAGCTTTCAAGATGAACTATAGCTCAACAAGTCACACCGAATGCTGCTTTCTGTCTGCACAAGAGGGAGGGGGACAGAGTACCTCAAGAAAAATGGATTCCAAGTGGGCAGCCGGCAACTTGCAACTTACTCTTCATCACAGTACTGCCTACCTATTGTGTTTGAAACAAATTGAGAGTGTGAATGCCATGTCAAGATATTTCTATCTTTGGTGTCAATGTGTTTTATTTATATTTAAAAGTCAAAGACCATAGTGACATGGGTGACGCTAGAAATTGTAACAGTTTTTTTTTCAGCCACAACTATGGGCTAGCACAATTGTAAAACACATGAGGTTATTTAGCCTGCAGTGTAGTTAAATTTCTACCTTCTCTGATTCTTTTTAATTGATAATGCCATTTGTAACTGGTTATGAATGTGATATGGAATAGGGAAGATTCCAGCTTCCCAAAATTTATGGTGCTATATCTCTCCAAGCCATAACAGTTCATAAAAAGCCAAATCCTCACACTGTCTTCAGGCATGCACATGGTTTCCAGTATGATTTCTGGAATACTTGACAAAAGAAAATGGGGCAGATAGGAAGACAAGACACGTTTTTTTCTTTTGACTTGCAAACACACTAAATCACCATTTTATTTTCTTGCATGGATTTCAATAGAGCATGAATAGTAAACAACAAGTATCTGGGAGAGATCTGGGTGGATGGATGTCTGCTGTTTGTTTTGTTTGTATTATGTTTTTCAATTTTATGAGAGTGGAGAAGTCTTTTTGTTTGAAAATTGTGGTAAGCCTCATGAGGCTTAACAGAGTTTGAGCTTTATTATGCTAAATGGCTTTTTGTGTATTTCCCTTCTCCACTTAATGGTATTCAGGAAATATTCTTATTTCCTAGGAAATTCATTGAACATTCTCCTACAATGTTTAGCTTATTTAATAAGTTAAGTAAGGATCTCCCTTGCTTGTGTACATTAAACCCCAAAATCAATATATTAGTCAATATAATTTACAATTTTAAGTGAGGTGGTTTATTCCCCCACTAGAGAGATATCTTCTGTATAGTCATCGGTTGTGCACGATAGCATGTGGCTGCAATGTCCTAACCCAAAATTTAGCTAGTTCATGTAAATAGTTCAGGAAACACTTCGGAGTTTGGTGCCAGCTCAGCTCAGACAGGGTTTGTTGGACACAACTCTTTTCGTGTGCAGCTTTGCACACTTACATCCATGTCCTCACCCAGGAGTTAGCCAGTCCTGCGGCAGCTCCACAGATTTAGTTGCCAATTTGTCCTGACTAATAATTCCTTCTCAAGTGCTGAGGAGCAAACTGTAGTAATACTGAAGTGGTTTTATATAGAAACATCTTGGATGGAGAAGGGATAACAACAGACCTTGTGTCCAAGGTATTTTGTGTTTTCATATCCAGCTGTTTTGCCTGCTGGAGCCTGGTGCAGAGTGCCATGTTTTGCTGAGCTTCTTAGTTTCAGCTCTCTCTTATGTAATATATTCTTGTCACAGATTTTTCTTCTGTCAAATTCTTATAGCTCTGATACTGTTCTGTGATAAACCTGGCTGTTGCTGTGGGTACTGCATTGTGGAGGTAGCCGGATCTATATAGGGTGACAGGGATATGGTTTCTTTCATAATGAACAGCTGATAGTAATAGCAGCTCTAATACTAATCAGAAAATAATAAAATAACAGAAAAGAGTGAAGTGCATCTAAATGAAGAATCTGAAAAGTGGGAGGTACACCTCTTCACATCTGATTTATTACGAAAGAAAGGTTTTTACAAGTATCAGCAGGTGTGACAACTTTACAGGCTATGTTTTATATTTGCATAAAAGTGTGACTCAGATTTTTATTTCTGGGCAGTAAATAGTATCTCTGCATTATGAGCTGCATATATATGCAGTATGTGAGGATCAATAGTCATGGTCTTACTACTTACAAAGAAGTATACATGGCAAATGATTTTATTGATTTTAGTAATACTTGAACTAAGTATGAAGTGAGTATAAATATATGTGTGTATAAATATATATATAGATCTACATATCTCAGTTGATTGAATAGGTTCTATACTTGAGCATATGAAGGCGGTGAACACTAATGACAAAGTTCTATAGAACTGTTGCAAATGTGAAACTAAATTTATTTAACTAGTCAGGCTGTTTGACTGCTGGAGTATAAGGAGCTTAATGAAGTTGCGATACTAACTTATACACTATATTCGACATCATCTGACTTAGGTAATGGAAGAAATGTGTGTGTCGTGGTTTAAACCCTATCCAGACAGCTTGTTCACTCACTCCCAGTGAGTGGTGCCGGGCTGACAGCAATCAAGGCCCCCCCCTCCCCGGAGCTCTCCCCTTCTCCACTCCTGGAGGAACAGGGAGGAGAATCGAAAGAGTGCAACTCCTACGGGTTGAGACAAGAACAGTCCAGCAACCACTGGACAACACAAATCACCACCGCTACCAACAACAACAACAATGATAAGAGAAAATAACAAGGGAAGAGAATACGATACCACTGGCCAAGAAATGAGTCCCACCCGGAAGCCCGTGTCCTTCCGGGTAACTCCCAGTTACCCCCCACCCTGGGCATGACGTGCTGTGGTATGGAATACCTCCTTGGCTAGCCTGGGTCAGGCTCCCCATCTCTGCTTCCTCACGGCTTCCCTTCCTCCCTGGAAGAGCATGAGCCTCACAAAGTCCCTTGGTCAGGGTAAACATCACTTAGCAACAACTGAAAACATCGGTATCACCAGCACTGTTCCCAGGCTGGAAGTCAAAACACAGTGCTGCACCAGCTACCACGAAGGAGAAACATGACTGCTACTGCTGAACCCAGGACAGTGTGCTATAATTCAAAGCTAAAGGCACCACAAGCAAATGTGTCTGCATTGTAAATGTAAAATACTGATGCAAAATATTTGCAATGGCTTTGTTTCTTTCCAGGTAGCTGTCCTGGTTTTAGTTTGCAGCTGGTTTTAGTCTTGATACCCGAGGTTATGTAACTGAAACATAAATGTGTCAAGTTGTCAACTGCTTCTCATCTTTGTATATGTGTGCATATGCATGTGTGCATGTATGTGTGTACATATGAATTCAGAGGAAGATATAAGAGACTTACTCCGACTATTTCCTTACTGCTTAAAATAACCTATACTATGGTTGTTTTTAAATCTTTAGGTGAAACTGCAAATGTTTTTTACCAGTGTCAAGAAGATAACCTGTTAGACAGCTTTTAGGAAGTTTCAATATTGTATTCTAGTTGCTGTTCACCATGAGTTATGTATACAAATGTCTGGGAAGAAAAACTGGAGTGGTATTTTATTTGTCTTTTAACAAAGGAACTAATCAGCACCTGGAATCTAAATTTACTTGATTTGATGATGGAGACTACTTGGATTTTGAGTTATTTACTCTAAAAGATAGCCTCTTCTGGGTTCTTCTGATGATTTTGTTTTTTTCATAGTGGTTTATAAGTCATGCTGCCAGTTGGATTTTGACAAGTAAAATTTTGGTTAGGTTGAGAAGCCTACCTGATGTCATTGGCTGAAAGAGTCTGAGAAAGTGTCTATTCATCTCTTCTGAAAAACTGTTTTTCCAAAGCATTTGTAATTGTTTAATACCTTTATAGCACTGTAGAGAGAGTGCTCAGCCAAAACTCTGCTCCCTTGATATTTTTTTTTTAATTGCAGTAGCTAAACAGATCTATCAAGTTCCTAGACAAAACCAAATAATCCACTGAGACATACCTTTTATTTATTAATTTATGAATCAATGTTGCAATTTTGCTGTGCTCTTAAATTGAGTGGAAGAGTGTCAGCATAACTGAAGTATCTCTATTTCCTGTAGCTCCTGGATTTGTTTTTTTCTGTTACATGTCATCTGAACACCAAGAAAGCCAAGCCTTCACATACTCAGCTTTTAAATGGCTGCAATTTTAATTTGCTAACTAGCAGAATAACCTTATCTACAGCTGTATCACAGTTAGTTTCAATCCAATTAATCTTCATCAATATTGCCACCCTTCACATCATCCTCTGAAAAACTTAAGGAAAACAGCTTAATTGGGAACAACTATGGCATTTCACTTTCAGAGAGATGGAATGTTCAACGCACTGTTACGACAACATCCTCCCATTAGAATAATTTACCGGGCAAACACTAAGTAAATACACATTCAGTGGAAGGGCATTGTGTAACCAATGTACACAGAGCAATGTCAGGAATTAGAAAATTATCATTAGAAACAATTAATATTCTTGTACTGTTAGGTAAGCAAGTCAACATCTGATGAGATGAACTGTGCAGATGATGGAAATTCTAAAACAGAATGAAGTATGACTACATGACTTATACTCTCATATTTACTTTTACATAATTTACATTGATTGTGTTTCCACTTCTATTAATAACTTCTATTTGGGTTCTTTTAGTTGAAGACTAAACATTTTAGGGTGATCTTGACTGCGCGGTTTGATTGCGATACTGTCCCTATACAGTGTTCAGTAACTCCAAGCTGGAAAAGGCAGCACTTGTTTAGTAACGCTCAAGAAACATACATTCTTTAGAACAGGAAACACATATTGCAATTAATTTCAGTAGTAGAGAACAAATACAAAGGCAGAATGTTTTATATTCTCAGAAACAGATTTATGGAGAGATATTAGATGAGTTCTCCAAAGAATAACATTTAATAAGTTATTAGGGAGCTTGAAGTTATATTTTATAAAAGTTAGAATTCTGGAGATGCGCACTACCCTAAATCAGTGCAAAACTAGAACATTAGGGATAGACCATAAAGTCTGTTTTCTTCTACAGTTTTGTCCAAATGACTATCAGGGAGACTTCTGACCAGAAGATGACTCCCTCAAGTTCCCAGTAATGTGATTTATTAAACTCTGGAGTGCTTTCATCAAAAGTGAAGAGATTACAGCCAGTATCCTCCAATAGTCTCTGTATTCCCTGTAAGTACTGTCTGTGTCATCTAGGTGAGTATAAAAATACATTGTTAATGCAAATCAGATAAGAGGATGGTGTGTTGTAGGTTCTGTATATGTGTGTTCTAAATTATTTCATCTGCTATTTGGATTTATCATGCTTGTGGAGCCTAACATCAAGAGGGTTGCTAGCATAGTCTCCCTTATAGAGGGAAAAGGACCTTTTAAAACATGACTGTCCAAGAATGAACCCTGCTTTCTCTTCTTATCTCTGGCTGTCACAAGCTGGGTGGATTGATAATGTGAGGTCTAGTAACATGAATTATGAAACAGTCTGAAAATAAGAAGCACGTATATAATGTTCTTTTCTCACATAGTACCTTAGTCATGTATTTTGAGTAGGAAATAATATTTCCTGTTGTTTCTTTTAGGAAAATTGGTTTTCTCCCTTGCAGTTTTGCACAAAGGCAAGGAGCTGCTGTATTGTACTGGCTACTTAAAACAATGCAGATCTTCAAAGCAGATGGATAAGGAGGGAAGTTTTCAGGACATTGAGAAGCTCTGAGTTTGTTTTGCAAGAGGAGAAGAAATGGATTGCAATTGTTACTGAGCAGTGGAAGCAGATTCTGATTGTCACAGATATGCCTCAGCCAGTTACAAATGTCAGGGTGGGAAAGCAATGGATTCACTCTGTTGAGGAGCTGAAGGCAAGGAATTTCAGAGGTAACTTTTATTAAGCTCAGTAACAGCCATATGTCAGTCCCCAAACAGAGATGTGCACTCTTCTTTCCTAAATCTTAAGAAAGTTCCCTAGTTCTGATTTGAAACTGCCTTAGTTTTCCACATGAACCAGTTGCAAGGAAGCTGGAAGCCCAACCTACTTCATGAAAATGGGAATGACACAATAATACAGAAATACACCACTAACTGCTCCCAGTTTAGTAGTGATTCAGAGTTACCAAATAATATTTTATACAAGCAGTGTAATAGAAAACACCACTTTCGTTATCACTTGCAACTTCTGAAGTGTTTTTTTCTGTTAAGCAACACCTATTACCTGAGATTACTCCTGATCCTTCCAGCACTTTTATGCTGCAAACTGCACAGCAAGTAATGGTCAAATATAATGAGCTAGGGGAAGGGGCTGTTTGTTTTCATCCTCACCAGAGGTTTTATTTTTGTAATTATGAATAGAAAATAGGTAACATTACAGAATGAATCCCCAGTGAAAATTTAATACAGAGTGGAAACAATCTTTCACACTGTAGTAGCAAATTTAAAGTGTTTCTTATACTCTGTCAAAGTTTCATTCATTACCAGCCTGGAAATATAAACTGGCTTCACAGTGGGAGAAAACAAACCTCAGGCTTCATTTAAAACCCTAAAAAGCAATGCGAAAACAATTGTACATTAAGGCTTTACAAGTGAGAAAGGAGCTGGAAAATGTATGGAAAGCTAGAGAGAGAGGGGAAGTGCGCTGTCATGACTAATGATACAGAAGCCATGAACTGTCAGGAACGAATAAAGAACTGTCAGGACCATTTATTTATTTAATCTCCCTTCTCCATCCTCTCTACCTGGAGGTCTTGGATAGTATTCCTTCTTCATATTTTCCTGCTGTAGAATTATTTTATTGGAAGCAGGAGTCCACGAGATCACCTATCCAAATCTCATCATCACTTTCCAGATTACCTGTCTGGTTCATGTTCAGTCCACTAGCAAGTCCAAATGTGAACTTGTTGAATCTAATGAGAACAGAGGAACTGCTGCAAGAAAGTGCAAGAAACAAGCAGAAGAGGAAGTTAATAAGTGAGTTTCCCATTCCTATTCCTTATTTCACTCATGATTACTAGTGCTTGTGTGCATTTCACAATACACACTATGAAAGGCTGTAAACAAAATTTGCTAGCAATGTGCATCTACAATTAGGAATCTGTATCCCATCTGTAGTGGGATACAAAATAAGTAAGCAACTGTCTAGATTTTAATCTTTCTGTGTTTGAATAGAGAGTTATGAGCATTCTGTATGCATATAAGAACCTGACAGCTTCATGTGCAAAATTCACATACTTATTTGCACCTCCAAATATTATTTTGGTAGGTGTTTTTTGTTTTTTGTTTTTTTCTTTTTTTTTTTTTTCTTTTTAGGAAATGTGGTACAAGACACTGGAAAAAAAACGCATGAAACGGCAGCATTAAGAATAGGAATACATGTGAGGAACATGTAAGTATTTGTAGTTCTGGGCAAAGCCTAAAATTGTAGAAATGTAAAAATAATCATATATATTTTACCTAACCTCACAGAAGACAAACCCAACTTCTTTTAAACTCTGAAAATTTGCTGGTTTCAGCTGAAGTTGAGAAAAATATTTTGTATTTTAGTGAGAACTGGTTCTAGTTTCAATATTTTAAAAAAAGAAAAAGTTTATTTTTAAACTTAGATTAAAAAAAAAGGCATGCTAGAAAAAAATCTCTATATAAGTATGTTAAATTGTTAAATGACTTTTAATTATTTTTTTCCCAAAGAGGAATGCGTGCTTGTCTGTTTATAAATGGTGGAGCTGCCTTTGACTCTTTTAACTTCATAATATAATCATAAGCACAGTTTTCACCAAGTCATTATCAAAGCTACACATTTCACAGCCACCAATTACAGGTTAGTGCTGCATCCTTGACAGTTGCTTCAAAATATGTTAAACTGGTGAAGGTGAAATGTAATTAACAGTATATATCACATAAATGTTTCAATCAATTTAAATTAGTCACTAGGTGGCTATGCATCACAGATGGAAGTGTGGTACTTAACAAGAAGAAAATCCTTATTAATAATTCAGTTCTTAGCCTAATAATGGATGTTGTCTTAAAAGACATGTTGTCTTAAAAATATGCATTGTCTGACTTGATTACAATAATGGGTCTGAAAACAGGAAAGTTACTCTTCATCTTCTTAGGATCTGTACCTGCAGCACTTACTCAAAAATAAATTAGGCAGTGGGATTACAGGGAAGGTTTGCCTGAAGACAGAAATACAGATTTCTTTAGAATGAAACATTCTACAGTGTGTATATATACACACACATATATAGTAGATATAGTGCGGGTACTACTTCTCAGATTTCAGTGAGCTTTGTTCAGCATGGGGCTTGAGAAGACAAGTGAGGGATGTTCAGTTATTTGGGTAGAATGCCTTTCAATTTTCTGTTTCCTCATGAGGTGGTTTCAGAAGGACAGACTCATTCCCATCCACAGAAATTCTTATATGTGCTGCCTGTCCTTTTAATGCCATCAAATGAGTTAATATTTGCCCCATTTGTTTTCCTGGTCGTATTTATTCAAGAGATATTCTTTACCCCGTGTGGGATGATAAATGTACTGTCCACCTGTAAAATATTTAGCTTATCATCTTTTGGGGAAAAAAAAAACCAACAACAAAACAAAACCAAACCAAACAACAAACCAAACCAGTCAGGTGTCATTCAGGAAAGAGCAGCTGGAAATTCTTATTGCTGTAGCAAGTTACATGCTCTGTATTCGGTTAATTTTCAGGGGATCTTTTTTGTCTTCTTTATGCTACTAAAAAATTGAGGCATATCATGGACTTCTCATATGTAAAACATTATTTTCAGCCTGCCAACCTCTGAATATTCAGACTTTTCTGAAAAGGGAAATGTATCACTTTTGGGTATAACTAAATGTATATTTAATGCTGGATAGATGAGATGTAATTCTTACAGGTACTAGAAATAAAAATACACATTTTCACACCCAAAAATAGAGTTAGGTTAAAATAAAACATGTAATTACTTTGTTACCCAAGGAAAATTGTTAAGTTCTTCCACCTTAGAATAGCAAAAAATGGGAGAGATGCATTCTGCTACTTACCCATCTTTATGGTATAGAATTTTTTTGGTTTTAAAGCAGCTCTTTCTTTTTACAGTTTATACAAAGTAAGTAGAAAAAGTAAATATTTTCTCAAATGTGTTTACAGTACACTATCTGAGAAAGTAAACAGAATGAGCTTGCACAATTTATATGAAGATAGAGGAAAGGAAAAACAAAACCTAACTAACAGATCATTTCCATCAGTGTGTTAGGCTTTTCTGTTTTGGTTAAATATTCCAGAACAGTGTCATCAATCAACAAGTTTCCCATTCCACAGAGAGAAATGTTACCTTTTTTAGTATTGCTAAACACTTTGACATATTCAAAAAATTGAGTCCTAGATCCTAAAGGTTATTTGTCATAGCAGAAAGGTAAATACTGCTCTGTGTATGCCAGAATGGCAAATAAATACTGTAAAGATGATGAATCTTGAGTTGGACACATAAACTGCTCAGATTCATAGGCCCCAGCTTCATCACACAGAGCTGTACTTTAATTTGGCCGTTCCTGACATATAACTATATACAGCAGGGAAGTGGTGGTCATTCAATCATGTCCCAGGATGAAGCCTCATGAAGGAAATGGTAGAGCAGGGAACAGATAATATATAATCCAGTTTGAATGCTTACTTACCATACTGAATCCTTTTAGTAGTGAGTTGATTTGGCATTGAGGGAGTTTTTTATTAGGTTGGGGTTTTTTGCTTGTTTTCTAAGGCTCACTAAGGGGGGGTACAGTAATCATAGAATCATAGACTAATTAGGGTTGGAAAGGACCTTAAGATTATAAAGTTCCAAACCCCCTGCCATGGGCAGGGACACCTCACACTAAATCATGTCACCCAAGGCTTCGTCCAACCTGGCCTTGAACACTGCCAGGGATGGAGCACTCACAGCCTCCCTGGGCAACCCATTCCAGTGCCTCACCACCCTTACAGTAAAGAATTGCTTTCTTATATCCATCTAAACCTCCCCTGTTTAAGTTTGAACCCATTACCCCTTGTCTATCACTACAATCCCTAATGAAGAGTCCCTCTCCAGCATCCCTATAGGCCCCCTTCAGATACTGGAAGGCTGCTAGGAGGTCTCCATGCAGCCTTCCCTTAACCAGGCTGAACAGCCCCAACTTTCTCAGCCTATCTTCATACGGGAGGTGCTCCAGTCCCCTGATCATCCTCGTGGCCCTTCTCTGGACTTGTTCCAACAGTTCCATGTCCTTTTTATGTCGAGGACACCAGAACTTCACACAATACTCCAGGTGAGGTCTCACAAGAGCAGAGTAGAGGGGCAGGATCACCTCCGTCGACCTGCTAGTCACATTCCTTTTGATGCAGCCCAGGATACGGTTGGCTTTCTGGGCTGCAAGCACACACTGAAGCAGGCTCATGTTCATTTTCTCATCAACCAACACCCCCAAGTCCTTCTCCGCAGGGCTGCTCTGAATCTCTTCTCTGCCCAACCTGTAGCTGTGCCTGGGATTGCTCTGACCCAGGTGTAGGACCTTGCACTTGGCATGCTTACACTTCATAAGGTTGGCATCAGCCCACCTCACAAGCATCTCAAGGTCCCTCTGGATGGCATTCCTTCCCTCCAGGGTATCAACCGAACCACACAGCTTGGT